AGGATAGAAGCAAAACCCCCAGGGTTAAAAACCTCCTTGTGTAACACTTCAGTGCCTGCTTACAGCTGGGCACTCATATTCCTGAGCAATGTTCAATATGCTCTCTCTAATTAAACAAAAAGCTAGAGAGGCTTGCCTAAAACTCTCTCTTACAAGCCTTCAGACTGCAAAAGGAAGGATGTAGGTAGGCCTCAGTTATCACGTCACTCCCTTTCCAGTGTGCCCCAGTGACTCAAAAATCTACCCCAAGCACCCATGCTCTGTCAACCAAGAGACCCTAGATGTTCACTTCCATTCTGGCGTTGATGACCCCTGAGAGGTGTAGGAAGGAGCACGGCTCCAGTGTCAGGTTGAGATATTGGTTACCCTCTGTCATGCCTATGAAATCCAAACACAAGAGTCACCCTGGCTCTGACTCAACAGGCAAAGGGTAGCCAAGGGCCAGACATTGATCCTTTTGGTGCATTAATACTACCTGTTAAACATATGCCTCTGGTACCCACTAAACTTCTGGACCACCCTTTCTTTTGCACTGACCTCCTTAGTATCTTGCTCATTGGCACAGTCCCTATTGGCACAGCGCATATACAGTATGGAGCGATTTCTCTGGGTTCAATAGTGCAGCCACCCTTGCTAGGTAAGCAGTTAGTTACAGAGACCTCAGTACTGACTCATTTCCCTACTATAGTTGACATTAGAGCATCCCAGCATGCCTGAAAGAGTAGCCCCACCATTGGAGGAGGTATACTCCTTTTCATCCTCCTTGTTGATGTGCAGTAGGGACTCATCTCCCCTCCATTAGGATCACACTGAGAAACATGAACTGCTCTCTCAAAAGGAGATGGCAAGGATTTCTGAGAACAGGCCACCTGGTGTCCTCCATTGTGTCCCACCAATCTATATCCACATGCTTATCACCCTTTAACTCTGCTGGTTAAGATATGCAATACCGTATTTGCAAGCCAGTAGCTACTGCCCCCTGCCAGGACTAACTCCCCTTCTCCCAAGAGGCAATATAGATCTTCCCAGACAGGTCAACTAAAGCAGCCTCAGATAGTAGAGCAGGGGTCGGCAATGTTCGGCACGTGGCTCGCCAGGGTAAGCACCCTGGCGGGCCGGGCCAGTTTGTTTACCTGCTGACGCGGCAGGTTCGGCCGATCGCGGCCCCCACTGGCCGCGGTTCGCCGTCCCGGGCCAATCGGGGTGGCGGGAAGC